CCTGCTGAAGTTTTTCCAGTTCTATCTGAGAGACCAGGAGAGATGCCAGACGACATGCAGGCTAAGCACTGTACTTCAACAGGGCACTACACTGAGTATTCCTTGTCTTGTTACCTCCCACGACTTTTGGGACTCTGCAGTTCCAAGACGCTGGTTTCCATCTTGAAAACGACTAAGTGGTATTCCCTTAGTAAATATTTATGGCGTTGGTGCACATAAAACAGTGGCTTCCCCTCTCAAGAATCTCACAATTTGGGGAGACAAGATTAACACAGGAAACAATTAAGAGTTCAGTAGTATGTGGCGCTGATTAACAGGACAATGGGAGTTTAGAGCTCAGAGAGTCACAAGATGGTTCTAGTGGGGACACTGGACTGGGAATTGGGAGCCCTGGGTTCAGCATTCCAGGTCTCCCAATAAACTGTCACGGAATTTAGAACGAGCCCAAGTACATTGGCTTTAGTTGCCTTGTAAGTGAAATAAAGAGATGCTGGTGCTAAGTGATTATTTTAAATCCTTTACAACTGTAGAAGTCTAAGACTTTGTGAAATTTGGATAGGCAGGTCGGGATGGCAAAGGGCCCAGAGAGAGGGTACAAGACATGCCCAGCATCACACTGAGTGATCTCAGAGCCAATCTTGGAGCCTCGTTCTTCCCCACCATATCACAGGGCTGTGTCCCAGAAAGAGGTGTTCAGGGCCAGCCCCATAGAGCAGTGGTTAAGTGCCTTGCAGAGGAAGCTGTAGCCCACGTGGTCATCCAAAGTTCGAGTCCCGACCCAGGTGGCTTAAAAAACATGCCAGGCATACATGTATGCCCAGGATCCTGACAGGATGGAGAATCGGAAGGAAAAGGATGTGGCACGACAGGCCCTGTTGGGAGGTGCTCTCTCTCTCTCAGTCTGTCTCTTGCGCACATGCCCTCTGGCATTAAATAATAATAATAGAATAAAAAGAGGTCTTTCAAAGGGCTATTTCTGGAATAGAGTTTTCAAGGACTGCCTCTTTATATTGGAAAGAGCTGGGATAGAACTGCAGTAGACATTAGCCTAGATATACTGCAGAAATCAAGGGCCAGGTAGTTGATTGTGGGAGGGGGAAATGGTGGCTACAGGGACTTCTGAATGACCAAAGAGAAAATCCTTTTTCTGTTGTGCAGACTGCTATGGTTTGTGCAGAATGGCCAAACCCAGGAGGTTCTATAAAAATGCCTTTTCAGAGCCAAGCAGATTTATATTCAGACTCCATTCTTGCCTTTTACTAATTGTGTGAACTTTGGGTAAGTCACCTTGCTGTGCCTGAATGTTCCCATCTATAAAATGGAGCAAACGGAAGCCACCCCATTTATTCATCAAGTAATCATTGAATGTTTCCTATCTGCAAGACCCTTTTACATGCTCTCTTCATCTGATCTCTCAGACTCCTTGGTGCCTAAGGGCGCAGCATGGAGCCAGGCACATGGCACCCAGAGTATCCCCTCTCCCCTTCCTGCCTCCATCTTCCTCCGTTATGGCCATGGGTGCCTCCATTTAGAATAGTGGTTTAAGTCTGTAAGGCATCTTCACATTTATTTCCCAGGATAATTCCAGACTGAGATGCCTGCAGGGTGTGACATAAGGCAGAGGATGCAATGGGATTTGCAGGGAGAAGTCTGTCCTGTCCACGCCAATAATTTGCACCGTGCCCTTAGATGAATTTCCTTCTTTCCTGGGCCTCATTTATTTCTGTATTTAAAAAAAAAGGGGGGGGAGGGACTGCCGGTGGGAGAATGGAGGGAAGCAAATGGCCTTTAAGGGTCCTCTCCACTCTAAGACTCGAATTCTGAAAGAAGCAGGTTACGGTTGGGAACACTGAATAGAATTTAAACCCGAGAGACTTCTTTTTCCCAAGAGCACACTGGACAGGCTCGCTCAGGCCTTCTGCAAGTTGTTTAGCGGTGGCGGGGCCTCAGCCTCTTATTCCAAATGCCTCTGAACTTTCTGTTCCCAGTTCTGCTCCTTTTACCAGCTTTTTCCCCCCTCTTGCATTTTTTATTTTTATGAAAGGATGTCATTAAGGCTTTTGTCTGCGCTGTTTTTGTTTCAGAACTTTTCTCACAATCCTATTTTTTGTTGAGGAATCCGCTCCTTTGCCCAGCTGTGGGTCCCGGTCCCACAGCTGTGTTGATCTAAGACTCAGCCCCAGACAGCCTGGCGCCAGGGTGGGACGTCATGCGTTCACACAGGGATGCGTGTCCCAGGCAACCTTTCCTCGGGCAGTCACCGGCCGGAGACTGCCTCGCCCACCAATGAGCGCCCGACACCCGAGAAAGGGGCGGGGTCTGCGCCGCCTGGCCCGCGAGCGGCTTGTGAATTGCAGATGCTGAGAACTTGATAACGTTCCTTGAATTGGGGCCCTTTAAAATCTTCTTCCCCCCTCCCTTTCTCTTTTAGTTCTTTCTTTTGTTTATACCTTTCTTCGCCCCTTCTTCCTTCATCTATATGTGTGTACGCAGTTTCTTCTTCCCTTTCCCCCCGCTTTTTAACTATCTCCTCCCAGTGTCAGGAATCATTTTGTAAGCGTTTCCAGGAACTGGATCTTCCTCTGCCAAAATTAAAAAAAAAGAAAAGGAAAGAAATTCAATGTTGTTTCTCTGATTTTTTGAAGAGTTGGCAGAGCTATTAAGTTATCCTATTTTGTCTTAAATTTTTTTTAAGTGGTAGTAGTGGGGGCGCTGAGCTGTTGATTTCAAAGCCAAAGTAAGGATGATGAGAATTGCAGATGGCTTTTTATCTATCTATACAGTTATCTTTTCCCCACTTGTGTTGTAGAATTGGGGATCAAGAGGACCTCATAAACTTGTCCAGGTTACTTATGTCAGTAGCCGCCCTGGGACTAGGACCCAGACAGCTCCTTCATTTGACTCTGTCCACTCTGCCCCCTAACTCTCACTAGCATTAGGGTGTATGCCATGTGGCAGAAAAGTCCCACTTTGCTGCATTTCCTAACGTGTACCTGTTTGTCCGACGGTGTGTGAGAACTTTCCAGTTGTACACACAGAACATACCCCATCTTCTACTCCCCTCAGGGAGTCCGGACCCCAAAGTACTACTGAGACTCGGGATACAGGGAGCACACAGGCTGCAGAAGCAAGGCCAGGCTCTAAGCCTTGCCCAGCCAACCTGCCCTAACTCTGCCTGGGTTGTATTCTTTATCAGTTTGGGGCTTGGAGCCAGCAGGTGGTGTGGTGTGCACTCCCACGTGGCGCTTTCAGTCCTGGACCTGGAGGCTTGCTTTCTCCTTTCCTCTCTCTCTCTCTGGTAAGTGCACCTGCTCTATAGCAAATTAGAAAATAATAATTAATAAAATAAATTTTGGGGGGAGGTTTTTGCTATAGGGTGCATGCATTCGCCAGAAAGACAGATGGAGAGACAGAAAGCGAGAAATCACCCCCCAAGGGAGATGGCCACGCCGCAATCCCTTCTCCTCCATTCTCCTCTCGGTATCTTGGGCACGCACGCACACACATGTACCCGGTGAGAATTTAAGCCACCGGGTCCGAGACTCGAACTGTGTTCGACTACATGAGAGTCCAGCGACATAGCCATTATGCTAACTGCTGGTCCCAATAAAATAATTATTTTAAGAATTTGGGAGGAAAATTATAGCCAGCTACTCTACAGCTAGGAGAATCAAAGGGGACAGGGACAGAAAGTGCT